CAGCCCCGGTTTGTTGGGGTGATCCCAGTCTGTGATCCCAGCCCCGGTTTGTTGGGGTGATCCCAGTCTGTGATCCCAGCCCTGGTTTGTTGGGGTGATCCCAGTCTGTGATCCCAGTTCCAGTTTGTTGGGGTAGGCACTTGGTGATCCCAGTTTGTGATCCTTGTCTGTGATCCCAGCCCCAGTTGGGATGATTCCTGTTTGTAATCCCTGTTTTTGATCCCAGTTTCTGATCCCTGTTTGTGATCCCAGGTTGTGATCCCAGCCCCAGTTTGTTGGGGGCTCACCTCTGCTGAGGCTGCATCCCTGAGGCCATCAGGGCTCACCAAACCCATCCCAGCACCCCAAATTCCCTCTCAGTGGTTACTGGGGTGCCCAGCCAGCCTTGCAGGGCCAAATCTGCTGCAGATGGGTGAGGGGACAAGGAGATCTCAGAGCAGCTCCCAATTTAAATATTTTTTCAATTTTTCAGCTAAATATTTTCATATTTGATGAAAAATTTCATATTTAGCTGCAAGCTCTGGGGAATTTGGGGGAGCCCCAAATTCCCTCTCAGTGGTGACTGGGGTGTCCAGCCAGCCTCAGGGTGCAGATGGGTGGGGGCACAAGGAGATCTCAGAGCAGCTCCCAGTTTAAAATATTGAGATGAAAAATTGAATATTTAGCTGCAGGTTCTGGGAGTTTAAAATATTGAGATGAAAAATTGAATATTTAGCTGCAGGTTCTGGGAGTTTAAAATATTGAGATGAAAAGTTGAATATTTAGCTGCAGGTTCTGGGAGTTTAAAATATTGAGATGAAAAGTTAAATCTTTAGCTGCAGGCTCTGGGGAAGGGGGGATCTGAAACCCCAAATTCCCTCTCAGTGGGTGCCCAGCCATTATTGCAGGGCTGGATTTGCTGCAGATGAGTGGAGGGACAAGGAGATCTCAGAGCAGCTCCCAGTTTAGAATATTGAGATGAAAAATTGAATCTTTAGCTGCAGGCTCTGGGGAAGGGGGGTCTGAGGCACCTGTTGGGGTTGCAGCCCTGGGGAGGCCGCTGCCCTTTTTAAGTGTCCATCTCTTTTTCCTTGCTCCCCTTCACAACCAGCCCATTGTGCTGGGGGCTCCAGCAGCTGGGTGGAGTGTTTCAGGCTCAAGTGTAATTTCAGTGCTTTTAAAAGCTTTTTGGAGGGCTTTTTTTCTTCTTCCTTTTTTTTTTTTTTTTTTTTTTTTTTCTCTTTCCCCTGAAGAGGACAGCAATGCCAACAAGGGATAATTTGATGGATTACTCTGCAGGGCTGAGGGGCTCTCCTTAATCCCCTTTGTGGGGCTGCTGGAGGAGACGCAGAGCAGAAGCCCCCCAGCCCCAGGCAGAGAAAAGGCAGCTCAGCAGGGTGGGTTTTACACTCTGACACATAAATACAGGCCCTGGTCATGTGGTGCTGGATATAATCTGTGCCCGTCCCCGCTCTGAGGAGAAGGGGGCACCTGGAGGGGGCCGATTTTTTCCCCCCTTTGCAGTTTAATTTGCATTTTGATTCTTCTTCTTGAAAAAAAAAATAATAATAAGCAGAGAAGAAAGGCCCTGGGGGGAGAGGTTGATTTGGATCAAGTGCCAGGGGTGATGGGCACAGTCTTTGAGCAGCAGAAATGAGTGAAAAGCAGAAGCAGAGATCATCTCATTTCCCCTCCTGCTCCGGAACGGGGGCTCCCCTCATGAATAAAAGCAAGAGCTTGGGTCGTGCAGCAGCAAAACAAAGCTGGGGCTCTGCTGTGCAGCCAGCCAAGCTTGTCTGAGGGCTGGAAGTGCTGCAGCAGCCCTGACACAGCTCAGGGGAGCGTGACCACGAGGGCAGAGCTCTCAGGGCTGAAATTCTGCTGATTTGGGGGTGCTGAGGAGTTTGGAAGGGTTTTTTTGATGAAGTTTGGTGAGGAGATGCCAGTCCTGAGTGGGTACAACGCTGCCAGACCCTGCTGGGCACCAGCACGAACCCCAGCCCAGGCTGGAGATCCCTGTGCAGCTGAGCTGGGCTGTGCTGGGGCTTTCAGCCCGGCACCCTGACCTGAACTCAGCTCTGGGCAGCTCCTGAGGAGGTGAGGGAGAGGATGAGGGTCAGGTGAGGCTGAGGGTCATCCCAGCAGCCCTGGCCCCTGCTGGCTGCAGGACTCAGTGCCCGGCTCCAGCAGTGCCAACTCCAGTTGTGTGTGCCTTTCTCCAGCTGTTGCCTGCTCCAGTTAAGCTCAGTTCTAGCTGTTCTCCCAGCTCCAGTTGTGCCCATCTCCAGTTGTGTGTGCCTTTCTGCAGCTGTGCCCAACTCCAGTTAAGCCCAGCTCCAGCAGTGCCCAGTTCCAGCTGTGCCAACTCCAGCAGTGCCCATCTCCAGTTGTTCCCAGCTCCAGCTGTGCCCAGCTGTGCCCAGCTCCAGTTAAGCTCAGCTCCATCTATTCCCATCCCCAGTAGTGCCCATCTCCAGTTGTTCCCACTCCAGCTGTGCCCATCTCCATTGTTCCCAGTTCCACCTGTGCCCGCCTCCATTGTTCCCATTCCAGCTGTTCCCAGCCCCAGCAGTGCCCATCTCCATTTTTCCCATCTCCAGCTGTGCCCATCTCCAGCTGCGCCCAGTGCCACCTGTGCCCATCTCCATTTTTCCCATCTCCAGCTGTGCCCATCTCCTGCCCCTGCCCCTGGCATGGATGCCCTGGCCAGCTCGAGGAGCAAGGAGCTGCTGGCCCTGGCACAGCCCTGGCATGGCCCTGGGCTTGTGTCTGTGCCCAGAGAGCTGCAGCAGTGCCAGCCTGGCCTCTGCTGAGCCAGTGACCCCCTCAGGCACAGGGGGCTCTGTTTGGAATGGGAGGAGGAGGAGGAGGAGGAGGCTGTGAGGAAGAGGAAGGCTCCTGTGCCCCAGGAGGGTGCAGGCTGTGGGACAGAAGCTCTGGGATGGGCTTAGAGCATCCCTGGAGTGTGAGGTGTGAGGGTGAAGGGCAGGACAGAGCTCCCTCCTGCGTGCCAGCATTGCCCATGGGCTGTGCATGCCCAAATGGAGAGATGCCCTCAGCTGTGCCTGTGCCAGGGATCCTCTGTGCCCTAAAGGACTCGGGATTTTAGCCCTGGGAGCAGCAGGATCCCCTTGCAGGGGGGTGGAATGCAGAGAGAACAATCCCCCAAATCCTCACCCCAAATCCAGGGGTGTCCCTGGGGAAGCTGGAGCTGCTTCAGGAGTGGCCCCAAAGGGTCACAGATGACGCCCATGGCCTGAGGGATCCTGGCTGCTTTGCCCAGCCCTGGGGGATGAGGAGGGAATCCCAAACCCTGCTCTGGAGGGGATTTCCAGGCTGCTGCTGCTCTTTCCCCAAGAATGGAGCCCTGGGGCTCAAAGGAAGCGCGGGGTTAATTCCCAGAGCCCGGATCCATCCCCTCCCCGAGCTGTGAATGGGGTCAAGGAGATCTGGGAGGGGAGGAGGGGTCAGGAGAGGTCAGGTGAGTGCTCCATTCCATGCCAGGAGCCTGCCAGAGCTATTCTCCATGGTGCATTTCCCATTCAGCAGCACTGAATGGACACTGATAGCTGTGAAAGGCGCTGGCTGCTCCTGAGGGCTCTGTGCCACCCTTTCTTCCCAAAGGGCTTCAGGGAATTCACAAAGAGCCCCTCAGAAGGTTGGAAATGGAATGTTGGGGTTGTGAACGGGAGATGTTTGCCTGTCCCTGTCTGTGGGTGCCAAACCTGGGCAGGGAGGGTGAGGAGTGAATCACCTGGGCTGGAGCAGCCCCACCTCAGCCCAGGGATTCCCTTTCCTAAGGGAATAAAGCAGGGCAGAAATAATGAATAATTGTCTTGGTTTGGAAAGCCAGGAGCCTGCTAAGGAAGGCAGGAGCCTCCCCTGAAATGGAGAATGGGAACCCTCCCCACCCCTCCGAATTGCTGTCAATTTTAAATTAAGGGGGCTCTCAAGCAAAAAATATGGGAGCAGGAATGACAGTTCTTTAATAGGGAAAAAAATAAAAGGATAAAATAAACAATGCAGTTGTCTTGGTTTGGAAAGCCAGGAGTCTGCTAAGGAAGGCAGGAGCCTCCCCTGAAATGGAGAATGTGTAAACCCCATCCCTCCGAATTGCTTAAATTTTAGATTAAGGAGCTCTCAGGCAAAAATATGGGAGTAGGAAATAACAGTTCTTTAATAGGGAAAAAAGGATAAAATAAACAATGCAGTGAACCAAAACAACACTGGCAGAGTCAGAACCCAACCTGACACCCTGTGGGTCAGGCTGTTGGCAGCAGTCCCATTGGAATTGTGGCTCAGCCCTCCTGCAGTGTCAGGGCTGGTTCTGCTGGAGCAGGGATCCTGGAGAAAGGTGCAGCCTCTGCCTCTGAAGATCCAGGGGCAGAGGCAGCTGCTGTTCCACTGGGCAATCCCGTGGAGAAGCTGTGCTGGTGTTCCAGAATCTCCAGATTATATCCGGGTAGGAATGTGTGAAATCTCAGATTATATCCAGGTAGGAATGTTTGAAATCTCCAGATTATATCCAGGTAGGAATGTTTGAAATCTCCAGATTATATCCAGGTAGGAATGTTTGAAATCTCAGATTATATCCAGGTAGGAATGTTTGAAATCTCCAGATTATATCCGGGTAGGAATGTTTGAAATCTCCAGATTATATCCGGGTAGGAATGTTTGAAATCTCAGATTATATCCAGGTAGGAATGTTTGAAATCTCCAGATTATATCCGGGTAGGAATGCTTGGCTCCTCCCTCTGGGCTCACATCTCCCAATGGGATGCTGTAGTTCTTATCAGCCATGCAGGGACATTCAAAAGCTGTTATCAGCAGATGTCCCCTCCCAAGGGGTGATTGTGATAACTCAGAGAGAGATAAGGCAAACTGCCCACTTGACAAAGGTAATCTGCCATACAGATGGTAATGGAAAACATCTTGCCTTGCAATCTTCAACAATAATAAAATTATCAAATGGTTTGGGGGTTGGGAGGGATCTTAAATCTCATTTTTTTTTCCACGTGCAGGGACACCTTCCACTATCCGTGGCTGCTGCAAGCTGGGCTTGGACACTCCCAGGGATGGGGCAGCCACATTTTCTCTGGGAAAGCTGCTCCAGTGCCTCAGCATCCTCACCCTGAGCCAAATTCCCTGTGTCTGGTCCCTGCTGTGTGTTGAGCTGCACAACCACTGCAAATCAAAGCCTCCAAAGCCACATTCACCATCATCTCCTTGTTCTTCTGCACCAATAGCAGAGATTATGGAGTAGCAGGACATGGATTCTTCCAGGAATAAATGAGTTTTTCTCTGCCGGGTAGGTACACCCACATTTTATTAGTTTTATTTTTAAAATAACCAGCCCTCCCTCTTCATTCTGAGCTCTGCTGAGATGGGATTTCCTCTAAGACCCTGTGTTGGGAAGATTTAGGAGATTGTGAGGAGGAAAGGTTCCTTTGGGTGTAAAATCCACCTTTTCCGGGTGTTTGGGTTTGGTTTTTTCCCTAAAATCCTCCCTGGCTTCACCCTCCCCTTTGTCCAGCCAAGCTTTGCTCCTGCCCTGGACCCGCCCATTACCTGGCTGCCAGGTGAGGCAGCCTCTGGGAGCTGATCTGCTGCTCTCTGCAGGGAAAGGGCAGGGAAAAATGGGTTTGGAAGCTTTAAAAGCAAACCAGAGAGCCGTGGGTTTGGAGATGTTTGGTTTTTATAAAAAAAAAGCCATGGATTTGAGATGGTTTGGGGTTTTTAGAAGAAAGCCATGGGTTTGGAGATTTTGGGGTTTTCTAAAAGAGAGCCATGGCTTTGAGATGGTTTGGAAGCTTTAAAAGCAAACCAGAGAGCCGTGGCTTTGGAGTTTTTGGGTTTTTTTAAAAGAGAGCCGTGGGTTTGAGATTATTTGGGTTTTTTAAAAGAGAACCATGGGTCTGGAGATTTTTGGGATTTTTAAAGAGAGCCATGGGTCTGGAGATGGTTTGGGTTTTTTTAAAAATGCCATGGGTTTGGAGATTTTTGAGTTTTTTTTAAAAGAGAACCAGAAAGCCATGGTTTTTGGAGATTATTTGGGTTTTTTAAAAGCAAACCAGAAAGCCGTGGCTTTGGAGATGTTTGGGTTTTTAAAAGAGAGCAATGGTTTGGAGATGGTTTGGGTTTTTTAAAAGAAAGCCATGGGTTTGGAGATTTTGGGTTTTTTAAAAGAAACCTGTGGGTCTGGAGATGGTTTGGGTTTTTTGAAGAAAGCCATGGCTTTGGAGGTGTTTGGGTTTTTTAAAAGAGAACCAGAGAGCCATGGATCTGGAGGTGGTTTGGGTTTTTTAAAAGAGAGCCATGGGTCTGGAGATGTTTGAGTTTTTGAAAAGAGAGATGTGGGTTTGAGATGGTTTGGGCTTTTTAAAGAGAGCCATGGATTTGGAGATTTTTGGGATTTTTAAAAGAGAACCAGAGAGCCATGGCTTTGGAGATGGTTTGGGTTTTTAAAAGAGAGCCATGGTTTTAGATGGTTTAGGTTTTTTAAAAGAAAGCCATGGGTTTGGAGATGTTTAGGTTTTTTAAAAGAGAACCAGAGAGCCATGGATTTGAAGATGGTTTGGGTTTTTAAAAGAGAGAAAGAGAGACATGGGTTTGGAGGTGGTTTGGTTTTTTTAAAAGAAAGCCATGGTTTGAGATGGTTTGGGTGTTTTTTTTTAAAGAGAGCCATGGGTTTGGAGATGTTTGGGTTTTCTAAAAGCAAACCAGAGAGCTGTAGCTTTGGAAATTTTTGGGTTTTTTAAAGAAGAGCCGTGGGTTTGGGTTTTTTAAAAGAAAACCATGGCTTTAAGATGGTTTGGGTTTTTTTAGAAGAAAGCCATGGCTTTGGAGATGTTTGGGGTTTTTTTAGAAGAAAGCCATGGCTTTGAGATGTCTGGCTGTCCCTGGGGAGGGAAGAGCAGCAGCTGATTCTGTCCATGGCACGCCAGCTCTGGGAGCAGCTGTGCCACAGCCCCACATGTGGCTCCCTTCTGCTCCCAAGTGCAGCAAACCTCAAAAAATCCCTTTTTGGGAACTGCTCAAGGTGTTCCTTGGGGAGGAGAGGACAAACCCTGCTCCTGCTGTGGGGATTTGGGGAAATGGGGCTGGAGGGTGAGAGGTGCCACTGTCACTGCACCATGTGTCCCCATGGGGCTGGGAACGGTCCCCAAATCCCCTCTGGGATGGGCAGAATGTCCTAAATCTGTGCTAAAACACCAGCAGATCAGCAAGGGAGGGTGATAAATGTGAATTTTTTCAGGGTTTTAGTTTTTAATGGCAAAATTCAGGTGTGAGCCCAGAGCTGGGGTTTGCTCAGGGCAGCACCTGTGAGGGTTGGCAGCAGTGTTTGCTCAGCCTCAGCGAGGGGCTGGGGCACAGGAGTGGCACGGTGACAATGACACTGCTGTTATCAGCACAGGGGGAGGGCCCTGGAGCCAAACCTGTGCTGGTTCCACCTCTGCCGCCCTGCAAACGCTGCAGCAGCTTCTGCTGGGCTGCAGGGAGCACCTGCGGGTGAGTCCTGGCTCCCAAATCTCCTTTTCCCAACTCCTGTCCTCCCAAATCAGCCACCTGCAGGTGAGTCCTGCCTCCCTGAGCCTCCCAAACCTCCCTGAGCCTCCCAAATCCCCCCGAGCCTCCCAAACCTCCCTGAGCCTCCCAAATCTCCTTTTCCCAACCCCTGTCTTCCCAAATCAGCCACCTGCAGGTGAGTCCTGGCTCCCTGAGCCTCCCAAACCTTCGTTTCCCAACTTCTTTCCTCCCAAATCAGCCACCTGCAGGTGAGTCCTGCCTCCCTGAGCTTCCCAAACCTTCCTGAACCTCCCAATCCTCCGTTTTCCAGCTCCTGTCCTCCCAAATCAGCCACCTGCAGGTGAGTCCTTGTTCTCTGAGCCTCCCAAACTTCCCTGAGCTTCCCAAATCTCCTTTTCCCAACCCCTGTCTTCCCAAATCAGCCACCTGCAGGTGAGTCCTGGCTCCCTGAGCCTCCCAAACCTTCGTTTCCCAACTTCTTTCCTCCCAAATCAGCCCCCTGCAGGTGAGTCCTGCCTCCCTGAGCCTTTCCAACCTTCCTGAGCCTCCCAAACCTTCCTGAGCTTCCCAAATCTCCTTTTCCCAACCCCTGTCCTCCCAAATCAGCCCCCTGCAGGTGAGTCCTGGCTCCCAAATCTCCTTTTCCCAACCCCTTGTCCTCCCAAATCAGCAGCTCAGGTGATTTCCCCACCCAGCACATTTCCCTGTCTCTGTTCTGTGGACAATTTAAAAAGTTAAAAGAGGAATGAATGGTGTTGGGGTGAAGTTCATCTTGTGCTGCAGTTCTACCTGCGGCTTTGCTGCGGTTGGGATTTCTCATCCCTGGCAGTTCATGGTTATTCCTTCAGGGATTTGTTTTCTCCTGGGAGGGTGTGGATGGGGAGGAGAGCTCTGTTCCTACCTGCAGATAAGAAACCCAGCTCTGCCTCCATTCCCAGGCAGGTGGACAGATCCCTGCTGCCTCCCCTGAGCTCTGCACAGCATAAAAGGGAAAAAAACCCAACTTTTAATCTGTGTGAGGCATCTCTCACTCGATGTTTGGGGTTTTTTTGGGATAATTCCCCCTCTCTGAGCTCTCCAGGCAGTGCACATCACATCCCCCTTTAGGTCTGATCTGAGTGCCTCAGTTAATTTTTATTTGCGACTCTGGGAGCTGAAATTCCTCATCGTGGGGCTGGGCTCCAGCTGGGCACCCCCTGGCACATCCTGTGTGGAGCCACATCTGAGCAAGGTGGGCTGGAGGGATGCTCAGGCTGCCTTTGAAGCTGCCTCTGGTGATTAAAACAAAACCATTCCCCTTCTGTTTTCCCCCCTCAGTTTGCTGTTTGACCTCGGGCAAGGCGTTTAAATGTTGAAAGGAGGGATCTCTGTGACAGTTCAGGGGAGTGAACGTCCCCAAAGGGGAATAATTGGTATTTATTGAGTGGAACTGGCAGTTCCTGAGCTCAGGATTGGCATTTCTCCACAGAGAGAAAGTGATGGAGTGATGGCTGAGCCTCACCTCACCCTGCCAGGCTCCCCCAGCAACAAGGAGGGAGAGAAAAGTGACAAAACCCTGCCTGCTGTACCTGCCCGCACACACCTGTGTGGTTTTTGGGAGCACTGATCTCACCTCCTCGAGGTGTTTTTTGTAAATTTTGCTGTTCTGGGTGCTGGGGAGCTTGGGGGATTTCTCTGATTTGGGACTGAGAGGCTCAGCCCCTGTCCTGTCCCCATGCCGTGGCCTCTCCCCTCTGGGGAGAAGGGAGCAGTTACAGGGCAAATAAATGACTCAGTGTAATGAGTAAGGTAATTGCCATTTGCTGTTAGATGAGGCTAAAGTGGGTCAGGTTTGTTTGTGAAACTCCACGGAGGCGCTGCCTGTTCTCTGTGCCCCATCCTGGGGCTGGAGATGGGGTTTGGGTGAAATCACCTCCCCCAGAGCCTGGAACCTGCACAGGGGTGTCCTGATCACCAGAAAGGGATGGGATTTGGGTGAAATCACCTCTCTCAGAGCCTGGGAGCAGCACAGGGGTGTCCTGGTCACCAGAAAGGAATGGAATTGGGTGAAATTTCTTTCCCCAGAGCCTGGAAGCAGCACTGGGGTGTCCTGGATGGGATTGGGGTGAAATCACCTCCCCCAGAGCCTGGAACCTGATTAGAGGTGTCTTGGTAACAATTCTGAGATGGGGTTTGGGTGAAATCACCTCCCTCAGAGCCTGAAATCCCTTCCCCCAGCACAGGGGTGTCCTGGTCACCAGGGCTGTGGGTTTTGGGTGAAATTTCTTCCCCCAGAGCCTGGAACCTGCACAGGGGTGTCCTGGTCACCAGAAGGGGGTGGGATTTGGGTGAAATTTCTCCCCCCAGAGCTTGGGAGCAGCACAGGGGGTGTCCTGGATGGGATTTGGGTGAAATTGCTTCCCCCAGAGCCTGGGAGCAGCACTGGGGTGTCCTGGTCACCAGGCAGGGCTGTGGTGGCCTCTGGGGATGGCCCTGTGTGGCTGCAGGAGCCCCCCTGATCCTTGGAGGGGCTCTTGAGTGATTTCCCTGTGAGAGGAGACCCCAAGTCCTCTGTGTCTCTTCCATCTGCACGAGGTGCTCATACAGGACAGAGAGGTCAATCCTCCAGGGCAGGATTGGGTTTTCCCAGACCCCTGGCTCACCTGTCACAAACCCTTGGAGAAAACCCTGTCAGGGATGGAGCTTTCCTCTTTCCACCTCTTTCAACCCCTCTCCAGCCTGCTGGGATGGGGGACTGTCCCTTTGAGTGGTGACACATCCCCACAAACCCTTGGAAATACACCTGTTAGGGGTGGAGTTTTCATCCTTCCACCTCTCCTGGGCCCTTCCCCAGCCTGTTGGGATGGGCACTGTCCCTTTCAGCAGTGACATGTTGTAGTTTTACCCCACAAACTCTTGGAAATAAACCTGGGATGGAGCTTTCCTCTTTCCACCTCATCCATCCCCTCCCCAGTCTGTTGGGATGGGGACTGTCCCTTTCAGTGGTGACACATCTGTGTGGCCCCTGGTTTTAGCCCACAAACCCTTGGAGATAAACCTGGGGTAGAGCTTTCATCCTTCCACCTCTCCTGTACCTTCCCCAGCCTGCTGGGATGGGCACTGTCCCTTTCAGTGGTGACACATCCCTGTGGCGCTTGGTTTTACCCCACAAAACCTTTGGAGATAAACCTGGGATGGAGCTTTCCATCCTCCAGGGATGGAGCTTTCATCCTTCCACCTCTCTTGGACCTTCTCCAGCCTGCTAGGAGGGGAACTGTCCCTTTCAGTGGTGACACATTGTGGTTTTACCCCACAAATCCTTGGAAATAAACCTGTTAGGGATGGAGTTTTCATCTTGCCTCCTCTCCTGGGCCCTCCCAGGCCTGTTGGGGTGGGCACTGTCCCTTTGGTGGTGACACATCCCCACAAACCCTTGGAGATAAACCAGGGATGGAGCTTTCATCCTCTCCCTTGCCCCTCTCCACCCTGTTGGGATGGGGACTGTCCCTTTCAGCGGTGACACACCCCTGTGGCCCCTGATTTTAACCCATTCCCTGCTGTGTTCAACTCTCTCCCCACAGCCCCCAGCCTGTGAGCAGGAGGAGCAGCCTGCAGTGGGATCCCTGCCCGGGCTCTCCACGCCCCACAAGAAGAGGAAGAGGCACAGACGGTTCCTTGGCCGTTGGTAAAATGGGAAGCAGCGTCTCCCCAGCAGCCCGGCACGGGAAGCTCCAATCCTCGCCTGGGGGGCATCCCTGGGGGCTCTGCAGCTGGCAGGACACAGCCCTGTGCCACTGAGGGGTCGGGCTGGGGACAGCATGTCCTGGCAGAGCCGCAGCACCCAGCTGCTGCTGATCAACTCGCTGACCTTCGGGCTGGAGGTGTGCCTGGCCGCTGGCATCACCTACGTGCCACCGCTGCTGCTGGAGGTGGGCGTGGAGGAGAAGTTCATGACCATGGTGTTGGGTAGGCAGCTCTTGTCACCTCTCTGAGGGAGGGATGGTTTGGGCATGGAGGAGAAGTTCATGCCGTGGTTTTGGGTAGGCAGCTCTGGTCACCTCTCTGAGGGAGATTTTGTCACCTCTCTGAGGGAGGGATGGTTTGGGCATGGAGGAGAAGTTCATGCCATGGTTTTGGGCAGGCAGCTTTTGTCACCTCTCTGAGGGGGATTTTGTCACCTCTCTGAGGGAAGGATGGTTTGGGTATGGAGGAGAAGTTCATGACTGTGGTTTTGAGTAGGCAGCTTTTGTCACCTCTCTGAGGGGGATTCTGTCACCTCTCTGAGGGAGGGATGGTTTGGGCATGGAGGAGAAGTTCATGATCATGGTGTTGGGTAGGCAGCTCTTGTCACCTCTCTGAGGGGGATTCTGTCACCTCTCTGAGGGAGGGATGGTTTGGGCATGGAGGAGAAGTTCATGATCATGGTGTTGGGTAGGCAGCTCTTGTCACCTCTCTGAGGGAGATTTTTTTGCCTCTGTGATGGTTTGGGGGTTAAGGGCTGGTGGAGAGGAAAGGATGTTTTGAGGTTTGGGACAGAGGGAAGTGTAGCCACGATATTTTCTGAAAAATCCTTTCCTTAGGATTTTTCCTCCTGAGAAGCTGAGGGGCCTCAGGAACAAAATGTGAACAATGGTTATCTGCTGCTGTGGGATGCAACAGGTGCATCTGGGATTGGTCTCATGTGGTTGTTTCTAATTAATGGCCAATGCAGTTGTTTCTAATTAATGACCAATGCAGTTGTTTCTAATTAATGACCAATCACAGATGCACCTGTTGCATCCCACAGCAGCAGATAATCAATGTTTACATTTTGTTCCTGAGGCCTCTCAGCTTCTCAGGAGGAAAAATCCCAAGGAAAGGATTTTTCAGAAAATATCGTGGCTACAGGGAAGGATGTTTCTGGGTTTTTTTTGTTGAACCTTGCAGTCTGGAGGGTGGGGGTGAGTGAGGACATGGAGAGAGGGGCTGTGACCAACTGCAAGGGTGGGGGGAGTCAGGGTGAGTGATGGCAGGCAGAGGGGCTGTGACCCAACCTCCCAAACTGAGCAAACACCCTTTTTAGGAGTGCCCACAGAGCAGCTGTGTCCCTGTAACACCCCGTGTCTCTCTCCCAGGGATAGGCCCCGTGCTCGGGCTGGTTTTTGTGCCTCTCATCGGCTCGGCCAGCGACCACTGGCACAGCAGCTACGGCCGCAGGAGACCGTTCATCTGGGCGCTGTGCCTGGGCGTGCTGCTCAGCCTTTTTGTCATCCCCCACGCCAGCAGCCTGGCCGGCCTGTGTGCCCTCAACCCGCGGCCCCTGGAGATCGCCTTCCTCATCGTGGGCATCGGCCTGCTGGATTTCTGTGGCCAGGTGTGCTTCACCCCTCTGGAGGCCCTGCTCTCGGACCTCTTCCAGGAGCCGGACAACTGCCGCCAGGCCTTCTCCATGTACGCCTTCATGGTCAGCCTGGGGGGCTGCATCGGGTACCTGCTGCCCGCCATCGACTGGGCCTTCCTGGCGCCCTACCTGGGCAGCCAGCAGAGCTGCCTCTTCGCCCTGCTGGCCCTCATCTTCCTCGCCTGTGTGCTGGCCACGCTGTTTGTGACAGAGGAGGCCGCGCAGGGGGATCTGCTGGACACACCGGCGCTCAAGGACGTGTCCCCAAAGCCACCAAAGGCGTCCCTGTGGTGCTGCTGCTGCTGGCGGGCGGCGCGGGGGCCGTGCCTGCTGCAGGGCAGGCGGGTGCTGCAGGCCGGCAGGAAGCTGTGCCTGCTGCTGCCGCGGCTGCACGGCCTCTACTGCCGCATCCCCAGGGTCATCCGGCGGCTCTTCGTGGCCGAGCTGTGCAGCTGGATGGCCCTGATGACCTTCATGCTGTTCTACACGGATTTTGTGGGCGAGGGGCTGTACCACGGCGTGCCCAGGGCCAAGCCGGGCACGGAGGCCAGGCGGCACTACGATGAAGGTGAGGAGTGTGGGGGTGTTATGGATCTGAACGAGGCCAAACAAAGAGGTTCTTTACTAGGGAAGGAAATAAAAAGATAAAATAATGCAGGAAACTAAACCAGTGTCGCAGACGACTTTAATTAAAAATCCTTTCCTTAGGATTTTTCCCCCTAAGAAGCTGAGAGGCCTCAGGAACAAAATGTAAACATTGATTATCTGCTGCTGTGGAATGCAACAGGTGGATCTGTGATTGGCCTCATGGAATTGTTAGTAATTAATGGCCAATCACAGTCAGCTGGCTTGGACTCTCTGTCTGAGAAGCTTTTGTTATTCATTCCATTCTATGCTATTCTTAGCCAGCCTACTGATGAGAACCTTTTCTTCTATTCTTTTAGTATAGTTTTAATGTAATATTTGGGGATCTCCCCAAAGAGCAAGTTTCCAAAAAGAAGAGCCCTGACCTGTGGTGGTGTTCACAGGAGTTCTTGGATGAGGGAAGAGACGAGGATCTGACTCCATATTTCAGAAGGCTTGGTTTATTATTTTATTATATATATTTATTTATGATGTGTAAATATTCATACATTTATGATATATAAATACAAATTTTATATAGTTATTATATATAGACATTTATATATTTATTATATGAAGACATTTATATATTTATTGTATATAAATATAAATATTTTTGTATTTAATGATATATATATTTATGTATTTGATATATAAATATTTATATATTTATGATATATAAATATACATATTTATGTATTTATGATACATGTTATATTAAAACTATACTAAAAGAATAGAAGAAAGGATTTCATCAGAAGGCTAGCTAAGGATAGAAAAAGAATGATAACAAAAACTTTTGTCTTGGACAGAGAGTCCAAGCCAGCTGACTGTGATTGGCCATTAATTAGAAACAACCACAAGGTACAACTTTTATAGCCTGACTTGCTAAGCTGAGACCTGATTGGTGTCAAAAGGAAAACCTCTCACCCCATTGGTGAGCTGTGAACAGCACACTCTGGAGAACCATACCTATAAACAGCAGTTACAGAAAGAGAGATAATATTTGTTTTAATTCTTTCCTGTAAGTTTCCCAGAGCTTCCCAGGATTTTCCTGGGAGAGCTGTGTCTCTCTCTGTTCAGAGGATATGTGATTACCACAGACCCCCAGCCAGGTAATAATCAGGATTGACTCTGTGATCCACAGAAGGCTGATCCATTACTTTATTATTCATATTATATTATTCTATTCTTACTAAGAAACCCATTGCTTTTATAGACACAGCAGGATATAATTGATCCTCCAATCCAAACACCATCACCATTGGCTGATTCAGAAACCACCCTTAGGTAAACAAATCTCCACAGCACATTTTAGCTGTTTACAATAACAGGTGCAGCAAGAGAAGATAAGAATTGTTTCTCATTCTTGTCCTGGTCTCACAGCCCTCCCCAGCACAATGCCTGGGAAAGTTGTGCCTCTCTCTGTGGCCAGAGAGCTGCTGCCACATTCCCTGGGGTAAAAATGTTTCCTGGGAGCTGGGCATGGGCTCAGCTCTGTTGGTAATTAAAAAGAAAAACCAAAAACAAACAAAAAGCTGCAGGTAGGTCAGGAAAGAACATTTTCCCATGGCTCCCAGAGCGTGGCGCGAGGTTGGGAAACACCTCCTGGTTCTTCCAGCAGGGATCTGGCAGGGCAGCCCTGGCCTGGGGCTGGCAGGATGGAGCTGGCGCTGTCTGCAGGCTCTGCTGGGGAGCTCCTGGCACTGCCCTCTGTGCTGGCGCTCACAGGGCGAGGGAAGAGAGGAGAACCTTGACTCCCTGTTACAGAAGGCTGATTTATTATTTTATTATATATACTATATTCAAAGAAAATGATCTATTAAAACTAAAGAATATGTCATATATATTTTTAGTATATATATTATGTATATACTAAAATATATATGTTTAAATTTTAAAAATATATTTTTATATATTTTAAATATATTATATCTATATATTTAAAGTAATATAATATATATATTATATATCTATATATGTATATAAATATTCATATATATTTATATATAAAGATATAAGTATGTCTATGTATCTATAATATGTATATGTATATATATTTATATAAATACATATAAATATATATATTTATATAGATTTAATATATGTATTTAGAAATATAAATATATATTTAAATTAATATTAAATATATTCTTTATATTTTTTAGTATTTATGTATATATATATTTATATTTATATTTATATATATACACTAAAAGAATAGAAGAAAGGATTTCATCAGAAGGATTGAAAGGAAAGGAATGGAATGATAATAAAATCTTGTGACTGACTAAAGAGTCCGAGACAGCCGGACTGTGAATGGCTATTAATTAGAAACAACCAATCACAGATGCACCTGTTGCATTCCACAGCAGCAGTTAATTATTGTTCACATTTCGTTCCTGAGGCCTCTCCACTTCTCAGGAGAACAATCCTAGCAAAAGGGATTTTTCAGAAAATATCATGGCTGCAGCTCTCCCCTCCTTTCCCAGCGAGTGGTGAGGGTGCTCCCACCCTTGGCGAGCAGGGTGTTTTAATTCTTTAATGTATTTAATAAATTCAGGGGTGCTCTGTAGCACTGGGGTGGATTTGCTGCTCCTTCCCTCCGTTCTGCTGGGAGTTTGCCACCTCCAGCTGCTTTTGGGAGCCCTCCAGCAGCTTTCCCAGCTCTCAGTGCCTTGGAGCTGCTCACAATCCTGCAGCTGCCACATCCCAGGCTGGGACCCTGCCCCAGCAGCCCCCACCTGCCCACAGGTGTCACCTGCTGCCCCATTTTCCTGCCAGAGCCGCCAATCCCTTCCTAACCACCCTTTTGGTCTCCCTAATCCAAATATTTCCTTCTGGAGGCGCCTTCCTGCAGTTCTGCGCTGGAGGGCCCTGCAGCACAGTGCCCCTTTGTGCTGGGTGTCTGTTTAACTTCGAGCTTAATTATTATTTAACTCTCGCACTGTTTAGGTGCCAGCAGGTCAGCCCTCCATTGTGCTGGCTGTCGCAGGAACATGTGTTGAGTAATGCTCCCTGCTCCAAAGGGTTAATGGCTTTAATTCCCTGAAATCTGAGCCATCTTTGTCGAGGGGTGAGGTCCGGGATTGCCCCCGGATGCAGCGGTTTGGGGCACGTTCTGTACTTTACCTTGGCACAATTCCTCCTCTCCTTTGTTCCGCTGCTGCCTCTGGCGTCAGATAACAACGGATCCTGGGTCGGGTGGAGGTGACAGCACCTGGGGGCAGAGCGGGAGGAAGGGACAAACAGGGGGAGCCAAAGGCAGGGGTGGCATTTGGGGTCACAGGGTGGGTGGGTTGGGGTGCCCAGGAGGGAGGGAGGGGGCTCTGGGGGTGGGTGCTGCAATTCTGGGAGCTCGCAGGTGATGCTGCTCTGCTGCAGTCCTGGGATGTGCTGGGTGATGCTGCTCTGCCCCCTGAGCCAGCCCGGGCTGGCTGAGCTCTCTGGGCCTTGCTCTTTCCTTGGGAGTTTGGGGCTGAGACAGAGCGAAGGATGTTTTTGGGGTTTGGGACAGAGGGAAGGATGTTTTGGGGGTTAAGCACTGATGGAGAATGAAGGAAGTTTTGAGGTTTGGGACCAAGGGAATGATGTTTCTGGACTTTGGGACTCATGGAGGGATGTTTTTGGGGTTAAGCACTGATGGAGAATGAAGGATGTTTTGAGGTTTGGGACCAAGGGAATGATGTTTCTGGACTTTGGGACTCATGGAGGGATGTTTTTGGGGTTAAGCACTGATGGAGAATGAAGGATGTTTTGAGGTTTGGGACCAAGGGAATGATGTTTCTGGACTTTGGGACTCATGGAGGGATGTTTTTGGGGTTAAGCACTGATGGAGAATGAAGGATGTTTTGAGGTTTGGGACCAAGGGAATGATGTTTCTGGACTTTGGGACTGATGGAGGGATGTTTTTGGAGGTTAAGGACTGACAGAGAGGGAAGAATGTTTTTGGAGTTTGGGACTGATGGAGAGGGAGGGATGTTTTGGGGGTTTGGGACTGAGGGAAGGATATTTCTGGAGTTTGGGACTGACAGGGATTTTTTGGAGTTTGGGACTGATGGAGAAGGAAGGATGTTTTGGGGTTTGGGACAGAGGGAAGAACGTTTCTGGAGTTTAGGACTGACAGGAAAGGAAGTTTTTGAGGTTAAGGGCTGATAGAGAAGAAAGAATATTTTGAGATTTGAGTCCAAGAGAAGGATGTTTTTGGGGTTTGGGACAGAGGGAAGGATGTTTTTGGGATTGAGAGAAGGATGTTTCTGGAGTTTGGGACTGACAGGAAGGAATATTTTTGGGGTTAAGGGCTGATGGAGAGGAAAGAATGTTTTGGAGTTAAGGACTGACAGAGAAGGAAAAATATTTTGGGATTTGAGATTGAAAGAAGAATGTTTTTGGGATTTGGGACGGCGGGAAGGATGTTTCTGGGGTCTGGGACAGAGGGAATGATGTTTTGGGGCTTTGGGACAGAGAGAAGGATGATTTTGGGGTTGGGACAGAGGAAGGATGTTTTTGGGGTTTAGGACCAAGAGAAGGATGTTTTTTGGGGTTTGGGGCCAAGAGAAGGATGTTTTTTGGGGTTTGGGGCCAAGGGCGGGATGTTTTTGGGTTTGGGACAGCGGGGAGGATGTTTTTGGGGTTTGGGACCAAGAGAAGGATGTTTTTGGGGTTTGGGGCCAAGGGCAGGATGTTTTTGGGGTTTGGGGCCATGGGCAGGATGTTTTTCGGGTTTGGGACCAAGAGAAGGATGGTTTTGGGGTTTGGGGCCGAGGGCAGGATGTTTTTGGGTTTGGGGCCGAGGGCAGCATGCCTGGCTGTGTGAATCGGGGGCAGCCAGGGCAGTGTCTGTCCCCTCTCCCCTCAGGTGTGCGGATGGGCAGCCTGGGGCTCTTCCTGCAGTGCATCACCTCCATCTTCTTCTCGACAATCATGGACAGGCTGGTGAAGCGCTTCGGCACGCGGGCGGTGTACCTGGCCAGCGTGGTGTTCTTCCCCGGGGCAGCCTGCGTCATGTGCCTGTCCCACAGCGTCACCGTGGTCACCATCTCCGCTGCCCTGACCGGCTTCACCTTCTCTGCCCTCCAGATCCTGCCCTACACGCTGGCGTCCCTCTACCACCACGACAAACAGGTGGGCGTTGCTCCAGGGCAGCCTGGCCCTGCGGATTTTTCTGTTTTTCAGTTTTTTCTTCTGTTTTAGGGGAATTGCTCTGGTTTAGTTATCCCTGTGTAGATTCTGCAGCTCTGCCAGCCTGAGGGGCTACAAAACGCAAAGATTTTCAGCCCTCACAGCTTTCCAGTTTCCATCCATAACAACAGGATCAGGAAAATGAAAACCCAACCTATTCCCTCAGCTCCAAGGAAAAGAAACCTTGTGAGACTTGTGGCACACAACTGTGTCTCCTTGTGGAGAAGTCCTAGGAGGTTCCAGCCTGAGGGGCTACAAACCCTAAAGATTTTCAGCCCTCACAGCTTTCCAGTTTCCATCCGTAACACCAGGATCAGTAAGGGAAGAGCTTGGCTTTTCATTTAAGCTCCAAGGAAGAGAAACCTTGTGAAACTTGTGACACACAGCCCTGTCCCACAGGTGTTATCCTTGTGGAGAAGTCCTAGGAGGTTCCAGCCTTAGGGGCTACAAAACCCAAAGATTTTCAGCCCTCACAGCTTTTTAGTTTTCATCCACAGCACCAGGATGAATAAAATGAAAACCCAAGCTCTTCCCTTAGCTCCAAGAAAAAGAAATCTTGTGAAACTTGTGACACACAACCCTGTCCCTGTTATCCTTGTGGAGAAGTCCTAGGAGGTTCCAGTCTTAGGAGCTACAAAACCCAAAGATTTTCAGCCCTCAGCTTTCCAGTTTTCATCCACAGCACCAGGATCAGGAAAATGAAAACCTAACCTATTCCCTCAGCTCCAAGGAAAAGAAACCTTGTGAAACTTGTGACACACAACTGTATCTCCTTGTGGAGAAGTCCTAGGAGGTTCCAGCCTTAGGAGCTACAAAACCCAAGGATTTTCAGCTCTCACAGTTTTCATCCACAGCACCAGGATCAGTAAAATGAAAACCCAAGCTCTTCCCTCAGCTCCAAGGCAAAGAAACCTTGTGAAACTTGTGACACACAGCCCTGTCCCACAGATGTTATCCTTGTGGAGGAGTCCTAGGAGGTTCCTGAGCTGCACACTGGATTAATGGGAGTTCCTCTTGTGCTGCAAATGCAGAATTAATTTGTGGTTTGAGAGCAGCTCTTTCATCCCAGGGGCAGTGCTTGGCTGTGCTGTGGAAGGAGTAGGAGTTGTTACCACAGGCAGCATCCAGATGTTGGCATTGAGCAAACCCATCCCAGCTGGCACCAGGAGCGCTGTCAGGATGGGAATGCTCAGCTTGGCAGGAGCTGCAGCCTGGCTGGGATGTTTTATCAATGGGATGAAACCCAAACTGCACGGGCTGGGAGGGGAAGGCCACGTTGCCCGAGGCAGGCAGGGCACAGCTGGCTCTGCTCCCTGCTGCCCTTGGTGTGAACAGATTCTCTGTGGGAACACTCAGAGACCTCACAGCTTGAGCAGAGCGAGCAGAAAAAGGGTGAGAATGAAAAGATTTTGGTTCTCTCTGCCCCTTTTTTTTTTCCTGGCTGGAGTGAGGAGGGTCTGGGCAGGCAGATGGAGCAGCTTGGTTGAGGTTTGGGGCAGAGCTGAGAAAAGAGCCCTTCCCTGAGTTCCCAGGGCTGCTGGGTCCCAGCTGGTGGCACTTTGAAGCATCCCAGATGAGAATGGGCTGCTCGTGCTGGGCTCTGGGTTTGGGTTCCCAGTCACCCACCCCGCAAACCCCAAACATTCCTGTTTTATTCCTGTTCTATTCCTGTTCTATTCCTGTTTTATTCCTGGTTTTATTCCTGGTTTTATTCCTGGTTTTTTCCTGGTTTTATTCCTGGTTTTATTCCTGGTTTTTTTCCTGTTTTTTTTCCTGTTTTTTTTCCTGTTTTTTTCCTGTTTTATTCCTGTTTGCACTGCCCTGGGTGTCTGATATCCCCCAGCAGGGCCAGGTATGATGGTGTTCACAGGGGTCCCAGGATGAGGGAAGAGATGAGGAACTGACTCCATGTTTCAGAAGGCTGATTTATTATTTTATGATATATATTACATTAAAACTATACTAAAAGAATAGAAGAAAGGTTTCATCAGAAGGCTAGCTAAGAATAGAATAGGAAAGAATGATAACAAAGGTTTGTGGCTTGGCTCTCTGTCTGAGCCAGCTGACTCTGATTGGCCATTAATTAGAAACAACCACATGAGACCAATCACAGATGCACCTGTTGCATCCCACAGCAGCAGATAATCAATGTTTACATTTTGTTCCTGAGGCCTCTCAGCTTCTCAGGAGGAAAAATCCTAAAGAAAAGGATTTTTTTATAAAAGATGTCTGCGACAGCCTGGCCCTTCTCTCCTGCCCTGCCCCAGCTGATCTCAGGGTGGGCTCAGCACAAACCCCAAAACCACCCTGTGGCACCCAGTGAGGAGGTGACAAAAGCACAGAGTGTCCCCAGGCTGGCTGCTGAGCCCCGGGGCTGAGCACAGCCAGGCCTGTGAGTCAGGGCTGCTCTGGATGCTGTGCCAGTGGGGCAGAGCCAGCCTGGGGCTCGCAGAGCCTTCTCACGTGGGCCAGGCTCAGGCTGGCACTGCCCTGAGCACACACACACAGCTCTGGGATTGCTCCCCTGCGCAAAAACAGGGCCCCCTTGGAGTGCCAGAGCCTCCCTCACTCACCTCTGAGAGTGCAGCCCTTCCTCACTCACTGCTCAGACTCACAGCTCCTTCCTCACCTCTGAGTCCCAAATCCTTCCTCATTCATTTCTGAGAGTCCAAACTCCTTCCTCACTCACCTCCCAGAGTCCTAAGAGTCCCAACTCCTTTTTCACTCATCTGCCAGACTCCCAGCTCCTTCCTCACTCACCTCTGAGTTCCACATCCTTCCTCACTCACCTCCCAGACTCTCAGCTCCTTCCTCACTGATCTCTGAGTCCCAAATCCTTCCTCATCACTTTCCAGAGTCCCAGCTCCCTCCTCACTCACCTCTCACACTCCCAGCTCCCTCCACACTCATCTCTCAGAGTCCCAGCTCCTTCCTCACTCACCTCTGAGTCCCAAATCCTTCCTCACTGACCTCTCAGAGTCCCAAGTCTCAACTCCCTTTTCACTCATCTTCCAGACTCCCAGCTCCTTCCTCACTCAGCTTTGAGTCCAAATTCCTTCTTCACTCAGCTTTGAGTCCCAGCTCTTCCTCACTCACCTGAGTCCAACTCCTTCCTCACTGACTTCTGAGTCCCAAATTCTTCCTCCCTCACATCCTAGAGTCCGAACGCCTTCCTCATTCACCTCCCAGACACTCAGCTCTTCCTCACTCACCTCTGAGTCCCAAATCCTTCCTCATTCACCTCCCAGACTCCCATCTCCTTCACCTCCCAGAGTCCAACTCCTTCCTCACTGACCTCTGAGTCCCAAATCCTTCATAACTCCCCTTCCAGAGTCCCAAATCCTCCCTCACTCACCTCAGACTCCCAGCTCCCTCCTCACTCGCTCCCTGTTCCCCACAGGTTTTTCTCCATAAATACAAGAGGAAAGAGGAGGAAGACTCCGCTCTGCTGGACAAGAAACCCTCCTTCTCCAAGGGGCTGCTCCCCAGCCAGAAGCTGTCCTACCAGAACGGCCACGCTGGGATCCTCTTCTCCTCTTCCTCCCCCTCCTCCTCCTCCTCGCCAGCCTCCCCTCAGGCCGGGCCCAGCTCTGCTCTGTGCGTCAGCTCCTCCTGCGACGTCTCCCTGCGGATCATGGTGGGCGAGCCGGAGCCGGGGGCTCCCGGCCGGGGGATCTGCCTGGACCTGGCCATCCTGGACAGCGCCTTCCTGCTGTCCCAGGTGGTGCCCTCGCTCTTCATGGGCTCCATCGTGCAGCTCACCCAGTCTGTCACGGCCTACATGGTGTCGGCCGCCGCCCTCGGCCTGGTCGCCATCTACTTCGCTACCAAAGTTGTCTTTGACAAGGGTGACATGGCCAGGCACTCTGTGTGACACAAACAGCTGTGTGTGTGTGTGTGTGTGTGTCACAGGGTGACAGGACACTGGGTGTGCCCACAGGGCTGTCCCCAGCTGGTGCTGCCAGCTCTGGGGTTAATCTCAGGTGTAAATAAGAGGCTCTGGGCCGTTGTGCTCAGGGCCTGAAGGGCTTTCCAGAGGTGCCTTCAGCAGAGGGAGGCACAGCACAGCAGCACCAAAGGGTCCTGCAGGGGGGAAAGGGAATTGGGGTTTCCCTCTGGTGATAACGGGTCGAGTTCCTGAGCGGGAGCTGCACAGGGAGGGGATCAACCACTGGCTTCTCCTTTTTCTTTTTCTCCTTTCCTTTCCTTTCCTTTCCTTTCCTTTCCTTTCCTTTCCTTTCCTTTCCTTTCCTTTCCTTTCCTTTCCTTTCCTTTCCTTTCCCTCTCCTCCTTTTTTGTAGTTTTAGCCCATTTTTTGAGCACTGAGGGAGATGTCCTGGGGGAAAAAGCAGCAGGGAGGGAAAGTTTTGGCTGAGGGGTGCCCAGTTGCACCCCCTCACGTTCCTGCCCTCCCCACCTCCATCCAAAACCATCCAGGAGAAAAGTCCCTGTGCCTTGTTCTGGGAAAAACAAGGATCATCCCATTAGGACCAGTTCCAAAAGGTGACTTAACCTTTACCTATGTACCGGCTTGCATCAGACAGAGAGAACTTTTTATTTTTTATTTTTTTAATGATTGTTTTTACCTTTCCTCACACACTTCTCAGTCTCTCCTCACCTCAGTGCCTGTGTTTGCTCTCTCCCCTCATGGTTCCAGGCTCTTGTGCCTCTTCCACACGTGTGGCCCCTAAAAGGAGCTGCCACACTCCAGGGAAATCAGCCCCAGAGGGGTTCCCAGCCCTGGGCCAGTGAGGCAGAGCAGGAGGGAGGAGCTCTCCTGAAGAGTTAAACTCACCCCTGGAGCTGCTCTCTGCCCGTGGCTCCTTGGGCTTTATGAAATGTCTTTTATTCCCAGTCAGGAGTCCCTGATCCCACAGGGGCAGAGCAAAGCTCGGTCAGAGTGGGGCAAAGCTCCTCTGCTGTCCTGACCAGGGCCCAGAGGGCCCTTCAGGGATGTCCAGGCTCTTCTGGCTCCCATCTCTCCAGGGATGCCCAGGCTGTTCTCCTGACCCATCCCAGCAGGAATGCCCAGGTTCTCCTGACCCATCTCTCCAGGAATGCCCAGCTTGTTCTCCTGTCACGTCCCTCCAGGGATGCCCAGGTTCTTCTGACCCATCTTTCCAGGGATGTCCAGGCTGTTGTGACTCCCATCTCTCCAGAAATGTCCAGGTTGTGTTTCTGACCCATCCCTTCAGGGATGTTCAGCTTTCACTCCTGTCCCGTCCCTCCAGGGCTGTCCAGGCTGTTTTCCTGACCCATCTCCAGGTTCTATTCTTGACCCATCTCTCCAGGGATGTCCAGCTTGTTCTGGTTCCCATCTCTCCAGGGCTGTCCAAGTTGTTCTCCTGACCCATCTCCAGGTTCTTTTCCTGACCCATTTCTCCAGGGACATCTGGCTCCCATTCCTCCGGGGATGTCTGGGTTCTTCTCCTGACCCATCTCCCCAAGGATGTCCAGGTTGTGTTCCTGAGGTTCTTTTCCTGTCCCATCCCTTCAGGGATGTTCAGGTTGTTCTCTTGACCCCTCTGCTGTTTTTTTTTCCTGACCCATCTCTCAGGGCTGCCCAGCTTGTTCTCCTGAGGCTGTTCTCCTATCCCATCTCCCCAGGGATGCCCAGATTGTTCTCCTGAGGTTCTTCTCCTGCCCCATCTCTCCAGGGCTGCCCAGGCTGTTTTCCTGACCCATCTCCAGGTTCTTTACCTGTCCAAACCCTCCAGGGATGCCCAGGTTGTGTTCCTGAGGCTGTTCTCCTATCCTATCCCTCCAGGGCTCCCCAGGTTTTTCTCCTGAGGTTCTTTTCCTCTCCCATCTCCCCAGGGCTGCCCAGCTTGTTCTCCTGAGGTTGTTCTCCTGCCCCATCCCTCCAGGGATGCCCAGATTGTTTTCCTGACCCATCTCCAGTTTCTTTTCCTGACCCATCTCCCCATGGATGCCCAGCTTGTTCTGGCTCCCATTTCTCCAGGGATGCCCAGGTTCTTTTCCTGTTCCATCTCCCCAGGCATGCCCAGGCTGTTTTCCTGACCCATCTCCAGGTTCTTTTCCTGTCCCATCCCTGCAGGGCTGCCCAGGTTGTGTTCCTGAGGCTGTTTTCCTCTCCCATCTCCCCAGGGCTGCCCAGCTTGTTCTCCTGAGATTCTTTTCCTATCCTATCCCTCCAGGGCTCCCCAGGTTTTTCTCCTGAGGTTCTTTTCCTGTCCCATCCCTGCAGGGCTGCCCAGCTTATTCTGGCTCCCATCTCTGACTCCCTTCCCTCTGTCAGCAGACCCCGAGTCCCCCTGCCCAGAGCCATTCCCTGTCCCCAGATTTGCCCCACAGCTGGCACAAATCTGGCAGCTTCCAGCAGGAGCTGGCCCACATCAGGAACGACCCAAAGGCAGGAGGAAAGGCTGGATTGCTGCTGGGAGCGCACAAACTCCAGCCCTGCCTGCCCCAAATGAGCTGTTTGGGATTATTTTTTATTTTGTGGAGGTGTGTGGGCAGCCAGAGGCACTGGAGGGTGCAGTGTTGCTATTTTGGCCGAGTTTTGTCAGCCTGTTCCTCGCCTGGGTCACTCCCCTGCTGTCTGAGCCGGGCCCTCAAAGCTTTGGGATCGTCCCTTTCCCGTCAGGGGTCAGTGTTTTTGGTTTTTTTTTAAATTTTTGTCTCAAATTAAAGGCTGCCAGCCTCCCTTTCCCACAGGGCTGGCTTGCAGCTGCTCTGGGGACAGATTTGGCACTGCCTGCTCCACTTCCAGAAACACTTTTGGGGTCTGGACTTCCCACCCTGAGCTCTGCAGGCTGCAGCAGGAAGGATTTGGGACAAAAATCTTGTTTTGAGCTCGGGTGTACTGGTATAAATTCCCCCCTGCCCCAAGGCTGAAAACCCCTTTATTTGGAATATTTTCCCTTTATTTGGAATATTCATTATATTCCCGTTATTTGGAATATTTCTCATGTAAATGTGAGGAAGTTTCCCCGCACAGAGGCTGCCCTGATGCTCAAGTAATAGTTTTGATAATTTAAGTGCCTAAAGTGCTTCCACACTGAGCTTTCAGGTGGTGAGAAAGGGCTCAAATTCTTCATTTCAGGTGATGGGAAAGGGCTCAAATTCTCCATTTCAGGTGAAGGGGTTTGGTAGGAAAAGGCTCAAATTCTTCATTTCAGGTGATTTGGTGAGAAAGGTCTCAAATTGTTCATTTCAGGTGAAGAGGTTTGGGGGAAAGGCTTGAAATTCTTCATTTCAGGTGATGGGAAAGGGCTCAAATTCTCCATTTCAGGTGGTTTGGTGGCAAAGGGCTCAAATTCCTCATTTCAGGTGAAGGGGTTTGAGGGAAAGGCCTCAAATTCCTCATTTCAGGTGATTTGGTGCCAAAGGGCTCAAATTCCTCATTTCAGGTGAAGGGGTTTGGGGGAAAGGGCTCAAATTCCTCTTTTCAGGTGATGGAAAAGGGCTCAAATTCTTCATTTCAGGTGAAGGGGTTTGATAGGAAAGGCCTCAAATTCCTCATTTCAAACCCCCAGTTGATAAAGCAGAGATAAAGAGAGGGGCAGAGCCAGGGCTGATAACGGGAGATCAGGGTGAGGGAGCAGGAGGACGAGGAAATCTCCACAAAATTGGCTTTTTTGGCTTCTTCTAAGCAAATTTCTGTGTCAGGATCACATATTACACCAGCAATGGATGTTCTGGTCTGGGTTAGAGCATCCCTTACTTCTGTTACTGATATTCCCTGTGTGACCACAGAATTTCTCCAGGATTTGCTCCTGTCTGGCCACAGATTTGGGCACGAGCTGCTCAGAGCTGTGAGCAGGAGCTTTTCTGTTCCTCACAGGTGAATTTGGAAGGTGGAGGAGGGATAAATTGTGTAAATTCCCTAAGGTAGGGAAGGATTGGGGGGATGGATGGATGGATGGATGCTGGTTTTCCTTTTCGAGGTCACATCCTGCCCGTGAGACGTCGTGGTTTATTTATTTGGTAGAGTGAATATTTTGTATACGGCGCGAGAGGAAGGCTTTTATGGCTTTTATTATAAATTTTTATGGAAAAAGAGGGGGAAAAAATAAAAATGTGTGGAAAAAGGGAAAAATGCCTGAGCTGGCCACAGGAGGGCGCCACCAACGCGCGGGGAAGGGAGTGGGCGTGGCCAATGAATGATTGACAGTGCATGGACGTGGCTGAGGAATGACTGACAGCGAGTGGGCGTGATCAAATGGTTACGTTGTGTGGGGGCGTGGCCAAAGTGATTGGCGGTGTGGGGGCGTGACCAGAGAATGACGGACATGGCGGGGGCGCGGCTAATTATTGAGGGGTGGTGTTAGGGGCGTGGCCAGTGGATGACGGACGTGGTTGGGGTGTGGCCAATGAATGAGGGGAGGGGTTGAGGGGAGGGGCGTGGCCTGGATGTCACTTTTGGATGGGGACAGGCGGGACCAAGGTCACGGGTGGGGCCAATGGATGGGTGGGGCGGGGGCGGGGCTTTAAATGGGGAGGAGTCATGGTCGGGATTGGGGCGTGGCCAAGGACAAAGGGGCGGTATGAGGGTGGGGTAGATGATGGGGTGGGGACATGGGCGTGGCCACAAGGCAGGGGCGGGGTTAACGTTTTATGGATCCACCTTGATTTAAAATCCCCGCTTTGGACTCTGATCTCCTGCTTCAAAACCCCACACCTGGATCCACTTGGGTTCAAAACCCCCCGCACACCTGGATCCACCTGGATTTAAAATCTCCACTTTGGATCCACGTGGCTCCAAAACCCCCCACCCCTGGATCCCCTTGGATTTAAAATCCCCACCCTGGATCCAAACCCCTCTCACAGCTGCATCTCCCCGGATTCCAGCGTCCCCCTCTCTCCCTGCAGGGTCTCTCCTGCTTTTCCCGGAGCGCTGGAGCTCCCTGGATCGCTCCCGGTGTC